GGGGGGGGGGGGGACTATAACCAGACAGTGGGCAGCTTTACAACTCACGAGATGCACCAGGAAAGAAAACTGGTACATCAAATGCAGCTAAGGGAAAGATTGGAAAATTTTCTGTGAGAACTCTGCCTTGCTAAGCAGAGGTTTTGTTGTTCTTTTATCTAAAATGTTCACATACAGAATATACACGATTTAAGGTGAAAACTGGTTGTTCACTACTAAGTATTGTATCTCACATGGGCGAGGACAGGGACAGGGAAAATTTGAGAATTTTTTTTTTTTACCAAACAAAAACTTCTTTATAACATTAACTTTTTAACATGATCCATCTCTGAAAAGAGCTGAGAAAAATATTGGACATTGATTTAAAAGTCCTTAATATATCATTAACTGCTATTTTCATAACCTCTTTCTAGCAGGGTCTTAATGATAATTCCAACTTCACCTTATTTGGATTCTGAGGGCCATGTCAACTGGAATCTGGAGTTTTCAATAATAAATTTCAAATAACAAACTGTTAATTTATCAACCCAATTTCAGAAATTGTGGTATAAATCCAAATTGAAATTTCATTTTGCCCTAAGTGTTTTTCTTATAAAGAATTAAATCAGCTAAAACCAGATTTAAACCAAAAAACAAACATCAAACAACAACAACAACAAAAACCACTTGCAAAAACCTATGTTTAAAATATTTCATATACACTATATTAGTTTTCAATTCGTAATGCTGGTAACATTATCAGAAACACCCACTGAATTAAAGGCTTTGTAATGTGTCTAGTACCTTCCCAAATATTATCTCTTCAAACTATCTCCAGGAAAAAAAGTCCAGGTAAAATATGACCTTAAAAATTGCCATGCATGAATAATTAGGAACAAGAAAAATAAGTCACTGGCACTCAAAGGTAGCATGGTTAAATGCATTTTTTCCCCCAGTAGTTGGGTATAAACTCTTGTATAAACTCTAGTTCTATTTATCAAAGTCAGATTGTCTAGAAAGAGAATTACATACTCTATACAAATTCTTCATCTGATTGCAAGTTTATGCCAAAATTTTTAATCAACCTACAAGTACTCATTGGGAGAAATCAAAGTAATCAAATGTTCTTTCTTTAGTGTGGTCATTAAAAAATTTCCTTTTCAAGCCATACATATATCCCAAAGCTGAGTAAGCGAGCACGGAACTCAACCTTCACTGAGAGTTGATGTAATACAACACTATAGTGGCTTGGCTATGGTGCTACTTTGTAAAACGGGAGAAACTATCAAACACTTGAGGTAACCTAGAAAGCACAGAGCATATCACAGACATCTTAAAGACAAGCATTTTAAACATTTTTGCCAGTGCTTCTCTGAGAGCAAGTTCTTTAAACAGAACTTAACAATTTTTACAATATTAAAAAAAATACATCCCTCAAAAATAGCCCATCAATGCTAAATCAAACTTTCTGTATTTCTACAAAAATAGATGCACATAGAGCTATAAAATTGTATTCCTGAAACAATGAGCATATTCCTCTGTGGTTCATCTTTTCCTGACAAGATGGTTGGTTCCCAAAAAAAAAAAAAAATTAAAATTAAAATTAAACCATGTATTGAGATAAAAGCAAGATAAAAAAAAAGAGTTGCACAGTTGGCAAAGGCTCAGATGAGGGGAAAGACGAACAAAAATGCTTTTCTTCAATGTCTAGGACCCACTCTGCTTTCTCAAGAAAAGGCTCCAAACCAAAGTCAGCTGGCAGACACGTCGACTTCTCCTTCAGTGTCTATTGCGTCTCACTGCAGGATGGAAAACCCTGGCAGCATCTGTTCCCAGTGGGCCCGTGGACTCACGCTCCAATCTGACTGACTAATACTGTGTGTTTCAGTACCATGGTGATTCCTTGCTCTTGTCTTGGTGCTGTAGACCTAGAAAAAGTGACAATGAGAAAAATGAAAAGCATAAATATATGTAACACTGGAAAAATGGGGCATAAGCTACAATTCACGGGATACAGACACTGGAAAGACACTCTAGGCAACTGCGAGGTATGGCCTAAGGAACTCATGATCTCTAAGGCGATCAGCTCAGTGCTTCAGCTCATAATTTTAAAAATGTCAACCAACAGGTGACAAAAATTCTAAACTAGAGTAGTGCTATTTGTACAGTACAAATCCTTTACTGTGGTTTTTATTTCCTTGGAGTATGAGTGAATAAAAAATGGATGGAAATGAAATAAACCATTATATTTCTAATTTCAAAGGGAGCTGATATTGGGGGGAAATAATGCAACACATCTTTTGGAGCATTTAGGCAGCACTTCAGTTAATACTTTAATCCTTTTCAGTAACAAAAATGATACTTTTTGGATAAAAGTAGTGAATAAATTCTAGTGTTACTTTGAATGTATTCCATGTGGCATTGCTATAAATTACGGTGAGCAGTTGGACATGTTAAAAACAGAATCTAGTATTGTCAGCAAAATAGATATAGTTGGTTCACAGCTAATAGCAGAGACCTATATTCTATTTATAAATTTATTTATTTGTATCATATCTTCCTCCAGAAGATATTTAAGATGGCTTACAAAAATTCAAATTTCATAGAAAGGAAATACAATTTACAGGCAAATTTAAAAGAATAGTAACAAAAAGAAAATATGTGAACATGTGTGAATTACAACTCACAGCTAAAGTGATTAGGAAGAAGCTTATTGAAGAGGGAACAAAACAAAAAAAATGTGACTCTGAGCTTGTACTCATATAGTCAATAGACTAATTTCTGATATGTGAAATTAGATAGCTCAATTTACACCCACTTGAGGTCACTCTCTTCAGTTTCCTTTATTTTTGTCCTGGGGCATAATTGTTTGGAAGAGTAAAAATTCAGAATAATGGTTGCTCTTAATATGTTTAAAACCAAACACCAAAACATGAAGGTAAGGCTATTACAGAAGTGGGTAGAATGCAGCCTGATCGCTGTTGTGTGGGTGTGAGAATCACAGGCTTTTTAAAAAAATTTATCTTTATTATTGAAAGTATTACAGATATTCCCTTTTTTCCCAATTGACCTCTTCTACCCTGCACCCACTCCCCACCCCAGGCCTTCACCACACTATTGTCTGTGTCCATGGGCTCTGCATATATGCATACCAGTTTTTCGGTTAATCTCTCCCCCACTGACCCATCCACTCTCCAACCTCCCCTCTGAGATTTGTCAGTCTGATTCATGCTTCTGTGTCACTGAATCTATTCTGTTCATCAGTTTATTATGTTCTTTAGATTCCACATATAAGTGAGATCATGTGATGTTTGTCTTTCTGTGCCTGGCTTATTTCGCTTAGCATAACATTCTCCAGGTCCATCCATGCTGTCCCAAACCATGGGATAGTATGCAGCTATAAAGAAGAAGGATCACGTACACAGGCTGTCTCCTTGATCCTTGATCTACAACCAACCTTGGACTGGATGTCAGCAACAGAACCATTAAATGAGCCAGTATGGTTTTCAACTGCAATTGTTAAACAGCTGCAGTGGTTTCATTTCTTGTCCCTTCAACTTGCCAAAGAATTTTATAAAACAATGAGTATCATTACAAAACAGACACAGTTAGTTGTTGATGGGAGACATTAAGACAATCTACAAAACAGACTACATAAAGGGAGAGAGAACAAACAGGAGACAAGCAACTCACAGAACCACAAGTCACTATCTGAGTTCTGCAGCATTTGTGTACTGGGAAAAAGCAACACTTCGTGAAGAAAGATTAGTTCCATCCTAATGTTTTTCTCATGTGTACTAGTATGTTTAGATACAAAGTCAGTAGTTTTTTTCCCCCCATTTCAAAGGAAGAAGAGGAGCATGAGGGGAATGAGAGGAGAAAGAAGAGATAAAAGGATTTGGGGTATACCAATTCACTCTGTTTGCTTTACTCATTTTCAAATGATTGTGTGGTTAGAATAATTTACAACATACCCTAGTCTCTGTTGGGTGACTCTTATAATCTAAACCACCTTAACTGACAATCTGCTGACTGCATAAATATTTTTTTCATTATTAAAACGTCTCATCTTCTGTATGACTCAGTATTTCCACACTTGAAGACTCCATCAATCTATAGAATGTCAGCACCGCAAGTCATGAATAGTGTTGGAATCATCAAGTGGTTTGAGTGTCTTTTTTCCCCCCTTAAATAAAGGCAATCCCTAGTTTGCTTTGCAAAGACATACGACTCCTGCAGAATCATGTTAGCCTTTTGCTGTGGACAAGAATTGAATTACTTAACATAGCCCTAAATTTTCCAACCAGAATAACAGAAGGCATTCTCTCATTATAACTTCATCTCTTCAATTTTTTTTTGTTTTCAAGTCTTTGCATTACCTTAAAAAAAATCAATTCAATTCATCTATGACCTGAAATGCATTAAACATCTAAGGTGGTGAAGACGCATAAATCAAACCTTTGCATTAAAGCCAGATATTCATACCTGTAAATTTCAAAATAGGCACAAATAAAGCACAAGAAAGTGAACAACCACAAGCGACAGGCCCTACTTACTAATAAGTTGCAACAGAGAAGCAGAGCTATAATTTTTCCTATTATACAGTCGATGAGGCTAGATCGGGATATTAAAAAGCCACGCAGTACACTTAGTTTTCCCAGTAAGGGTTAAAGGACAAAACCATTAATCCATGAACTTTATGTGGTCTGCATATATCATTAACCCATAATCCTTATGTGATCTATATATATTTGGGATTTCCCTAAATTTTCTTACCAGAACACAGAATCCGCTGCTATGATTTTGTTCCTATTCGGAACTTTTTTGCCTTCTCGCTTCTCTAACTTAAATTTATATAAAATAAGATTATAACATACCCTGAAATATCCCCACTGGCTGGTTGTCTGAAATCACCCATATTTATCTTCTTGATATTTGTGACCCAGATTGGCTTTATCCTTTAATCAACGAGATTGTCAGTAGAAAGGAAAATAAACAGCATAAAACTTATGTTAATGAGCATTTTCTTAAGGCTGAATATGCCAGACGCTGTGGTAAGAACTTTACCTGAAATATTTAATGCCACTCACCATGCTATAATATCCATTCTACAAATGAGAAAATTGAAACTAAGAAAAGTTGTATAACTATCAAACAGTTGAAGTAGTTTGATTGAAAATGAGGTAGTCTGATGTCAGGGACAATAGTCTTAACTACAATGCATATGGCACCTCCTATATGGGCTCTATAGGCTGTGACACTATCCTGTACTTCCATAACTCCATAAAACCAATTCAAGGAAATGTTAATGCATTTTTATACTCTTTTTACACTGTTTAGAAACACTTTGATGTAACAGAACCGATATCAGGATTAACAAAATAGCCGTCTTAGTAATTTTTTTTAACTATATATCTGCAATGTTTTTCCTGGGACGTAGTCAATGATTACACAGTAGTTTGTTATAATTCCTATGAAGACTACATACTTTAATCATGCAATAGGATATGTCATATTAACTGAAATGCTTTTTGGTATATAACCACCACCACCCCCAAACTTCCCCAGTGTGAACACTGGAGACATGAGGTAGCCATTTGGCCTAGGAGGTCATTGTGAGAAATGAACCTGAAAACAAAGACATCACATTGTTGGCTTTGGAATTTGGGAGTCTGGGATTCAGTTAGAAGAAAAACCTAAAAAGAAACGTCAGCCACAGACCCCATTCCTCACTTCATTTCTATCACCACTACACCTGACCACCAAAAGGAAAAAAAAATCCAGACCCAGGAAGAGAGCAAAACAGTATGTACATAAAAAAGAAATTTAGACCATGGTTGGTGCGGCTCAGATGGTTAAGCGTCATCCCATGCACCAAGAGGTCACCGGTTCAATTCCTGGGCAGGGCGCATGCCTGAGTTGAGGTGTCAATCCCCAGTAGGAGGCAGGTTGGAGGCAGCCAGTTGATGTTTCTTTCTCATCAGTATTTCTCTCTCTCTCCCTCTCCCTTCCCTTCTCTCTAAAGTCAATAAAAAACATTACAAGAAAAAATTTAGGAAAATTAGGAGTAGGAGAATAGTCTTGGTCAAGGAAGATTATAATATGATCTCCCTTTAAAATTTGAACAATCTGTCTGTTGAACTCATTTTCTGGCTGATATTTTTGGGAGGTAATAGCTTCACAGATTTAACTTTTGCAAAAGATTCTGTGAATAAAAGCAAAGATAGGAATAAAAGAAAAGCCTGGAGAATTCCCCCCTCCCTAGATCCTGAATTTTCCGTGGGCTCTCTGAAAAGGGTATATTAATTAGCTCAGAAATAATTCTGGTGAACTTGCTAGTATGTCCCATAGCTATGATGTGGGTACCCCATGGCAGAAGGAATGGCATGGGCCACACCACCTGAGCATTTTGGAGGATTACAAACACTAAGAAGCTGAACTCAAGTTAAATAGGTCATTATCAGGGGAGCACAGTACAGAGAATGCACAGGGAGGCAGAGTGGGGGGTGGGAATATGCTTGGAGACAAAGGCCAGGATAGGATTGAAATGACAAGACCAAGAATCAGACAGCAACCTCTTAATTGACAATTTGTGAGTTGTGACTAACTTTAGGAGTAGAGAGAAAATCTCAGGGAGAAAATGAGGGAAAAGTCTGAGAGGTTTTATCTTTAAATGGAAATTTATTTATTTATTTATTTATTTATTTACTTACTTACTTACTTACTTATTTATGGAGGGAAGGAGAGAGAGAGAGAGACATTCATTTGTTGTTCCACTTATTTGTGCATTCTTTGGTTGATTCTTGTACTTATGTGCCCCGACCATAATCAAATTCTAAACCTTGTCATACTGGGACAATGCTCTAACCAACTGAGTTACTGGCCAGGGCTGGGAAATTGTTTTAAACTAAACCCAGTGGAGATATCA